CTGCTTTGTCCAGTTTGGTTCTGATGTCGTCTTTGACACCAGACAGCTGAAACACACAGTGGTATCTCCTCCAGTCTTCAGGTGCGATGGATGAAACCTTCAGGTCAACACTCATCTGGAAGCTTCCATCATGGTTGGGGAGGATCTCTCCTTTGTCCACGTCCTCATGAAGCTCCTCTCCATCTTTGGTCCAGAACAAGTCGGCTCTGTCGGGGCAGAAACCTGTAGCGTGGCAGGTGACCGGAGAGGAGGCAGTCTTCTGGAGGAGAGACACTGAGGGAAGATCTGGGGAGAGAAGCTGATGAGTCTTAACTGAATGTGACAGATCAGGATGTGTTTTGTGTCTGTTCCTGTGGATAGAAACAGATAAAGTACATAACCATGTGTATTTCACGTTGTGTTATTCTACCTGTCCTCTGCAGAAAACTCCTCCCGTAGTCCACATATGTCTTCAACCAGTCGGGGCACTCGTGGTTTAAGTAGTTTTTATTGAATTGTAGTCGAGCTTTCTCTGTGTCCCATCTTAGTTTGGTGATAAAAGCCTGCGGTTGTAGAGCGATCCATGTCAGCGTCTGCAGGTCCAGCGCTATGAAGTCTTCACCATCATATCCATACTTACTAAAACCCCTGATTTCTCCAGTTTCATCGTCCCATTCACAGCCGTTCATTCTCTGCAGGATGTGGGCACCTGGGACACAGAGAGGGAGTCTGATTTCACTGGTTTACTATTAGGGCCGGCTGGCATGGCTGCAAACATCACCACAATCATCATCTGACTGACTGCACACTGAAAAACTGTCATACTTCATTTTGGTGCAATATCAACACATTAAAAGCTGTGAATTATGAATATTCTGTCCATTTAAAAACTACAATATCAGTTTTTCTTCATATAAAAGAGTCTGTGCAATGTCAGTATTTTTCCACTTAAATCTGTACAATATAAATAAAATCTGTGTCATATTAACACTTCTCTGTCAGCAGTTCTTCTCTTGAAACCATCTGTGCCATATCATTTACATGTGCAATATTATTATTTCCACATCCAGATGATTTTGGACAACCTGAACTCGTACTTATTTATATTTTGTTTTTGTTTTTTAACTGATATTACTTACATGTTTGCACTATCCACTTTGCTGCCATAACGATGCAAATTTCCCCACAGTGGGATTAAAAAAGACTTACCATATTGTTTTCACAATATGCTTCATGTTTAACTTTATCAGGCAGGAAACACCTTCAATGTCTCTGTTAGACCTCAGAGATACACAATGTTTTAGTGAGTAACCCTGAATGTAAAACTGAGCTGTTTGTTTATGAAGAAAAAAAAACAAAACTCCACAGTGAATCTTGACTTTGAGGGTTATTTGCAGTTTAGGATTGATTGTTGGTTGCTCAGCAAACAGGTTGTTCTGCAATATTGGTGAGTGCACACATATTTGGATGAATATGCCCTGTAATAGTAACACATAAAAATACACATATTAGAAAAATGTGGCCTATAAAGTGACAAATTCCTTCAACAGAAAAGGCCCACTAATGAGCAAACAGAGCAGACAGATTGACTCCTTAGTAATGATGACACAACAGAAACCAAAGTCTGATTTTGGTTTATGGTAACTAATTGCTATGGTAATACAACCAATTTAAATGGTGGAAAAGGTTTATGTCTCCTGTCTTTGTGGGAAAAGATCTCCTAGATATCTGATAATAGACATCACTCTGCTATTTATGCTTGTCAGAAAACTCCATGGAGAATATTAGAAGTATGTGCCTATAAGGAAATTTCTTGAAGAAAACTTGAATTATCAGCAAATTATTTCATACAATCACCAGTTTTCCTGAAGAAGACTTGATATTGAGTGCAGCATCTTACAACACAGGGAGAACACATTTCAGCAGTGAAAACTTAAACATACATTCAAAAATATTTTACCTCCAGTTTGGTTTAAGCGTTCCATCAAGCTGTCAATGTTGGCTCTGAAGACCTGCTGGTTTCTAGAGCACTGGTTAGTGTGCCACTCCAGGTGTTGTGGGTTGTCTTTTAGGAATTTGCTCACCCAGTCCTGTTTGGGTTCAGCTGTCCTGATGCTGTCACAGTAACCCACCTGAAATTCATCAACCAGTGCTGAAGCCACAAACTCTGGACAGTTCGGGACCCCAGAAGTTGCAGTGAGGAAATATTTCAAGGAGTGTTTCACTGAAGGGAAAAGATGGTTTTCAGCTTTTGAATTTTATGTTTTATTTTTGTAGTTTAAAATCTGTTAAACCACAATGGAATAGAAAAAAAAAACGTGAATATGTTAAAGACCCATTCCTATACCATTCCTCCTATTGTACATGTGTGTACATCTATTTGCTTATTCGGAATTACACATTGAAGCAAATATAATAAAGAAAAGCACCCTCCATGTGATGATAATCCATCCAAATAGAAAACTGAGTGCTTCATTTGTGCCCATTAGCATTATATTCTGGTTACTTCAACAAGTTCTCTGCCTCACCCAGAAGCAATGGGTGTAACTTCTATTTTGGGGTATATTTGTATTCTACAAAGTCTTATATTAGTGTCCACAAAAACTCAAATGTTTGAAGCAATCAAATGAAAACAGAGAGGAAAGCTTGGAGCTGGCTGCTGTTCTCCAGGACAATAAGTCCGTCCATCCTGCACCGTCTGACTTCTCTCTGTTTCCTAAACAGATATCTTGTGTGGTCACTATGTTTTTTCGAGTGATGATGAAGTCATGCATGCTGTTGAGCATCTGGAGGCTCAAGATGTGACCTTCCTCTGCGTAAGGATAGTAATGCTTTAACATCAGTGGATCAAGTGCATTTAAGTGACGGGAGAACATGTTTTGAAACAATGCCAGAACAATCTTTCTTCTTTGACCTTTCAGCTCAGCCTCTTGCCAAACAGTGACCTGAACATGACACACACCTGATTTCCAAAGGTCACATAGGATAACATTCTCCATCTTCATTATTAAATATTGTGCACCTAATGCATATAACAGATGTTGCTCTCACATATTATACAAGTTACAAAAAAGTATTACTTTGTGCTATACTACAATTAGGTCAAATTGAATTGCTATGTGTCATTTTTAAAGCATCGACTTACAGACGATATAAAAACAACATCATTAATAAGCATGACTCAACATTGAATAGATTCATGTCAGGCTGAATCTGTCTGTTCAGACACTTGTAAGACTTTAAAAAGAGAAAGTGAAACTATAAGCACTGGGCGCTCTGCAGACAATAACAAGCAAACCAACAAACAGCAGCACCAGAGGGCTGTACTTTGAAGCAAGATAGGTGGGTTAGTTGAGGTATGGTGAGCTTAAAGTCAGTGTTTTCAGTGTGACAAAGGTGGCCCTCTTTTTACCTGACTGGATCTCCATGGTAACTGATGCTGTGGCGCTAACCTTATCGCGAACAGGTTCAGAGTTTTGGATTTAAATCGGCTGGAAAGAGCGTTTCCCTTTAACCAAACCATTTTCTGACTATTATGTATCAGCGATACAGATTCTCAGCTGAGGGAATGTGTTTTATCTGTAAACATGCTGAGTTGTGCGTCAGTAATGTCACTGAATGAAACTGTGTAGTTACTGTAAATATTGTGTTGCCATGGGAACCAGACTGTATTCAGTTGGTGATGCAGAAATCACATAAATATGTTTTTATGTTTGGCTCTGATTTGCTGTCAGGTCCGTTTCCACTGCTGGTACTGCAGCTGATAGAACACAGATTAGAAAATGAATTATTCTACTGGTATTTATTGCAGAGAATATTCAATCAATAACATTAGTTTTGCTTTTATTTGGCCAAAAATGAAAGTGATATCCTGCATTATGGGACAGTGTCAGACCTAAATGCACTTCAGTACAAGATCAGGTTTAAATATATGAAGTTTAAAGTTGAACTTTAACGTGCAGCTGTCATTTGGAAACACAGACTGTATAAGGAATTTCTTATACAGTCTACAGTTGGAAATAAGCAGCTGCATTGGTAAAATATTATATACTAGCATGTTTAACAGTGTTCTATCAGCAGTTCTGTCTTGCATTGATAACCACCTTCATGATACCCGTAATCTCTGGCTGGGGCTTTTGTCTTGTGTCGGCTGACACAAAGAAAGCCTGGTTATGTCACACTTGCTTCGTAGTACAGCGATCAGCAAGTATCTGATACTCTGTGATCTTACCTCCACATGCAACGTGACAGAAGAGGAGCAAAGCAAATAATTTCTTCATCTTCTTTTAGGAAGTCCTGGAATCTCAGAATGTGACTACATGTCATGTCTTGTGAACATTTACTTCCTCCTCAGTCTATAAATGAAATACAAAAAAACCCCAGAACATTTCAG